GGAATGTTCCTTCTGCAACGACTTTTCGCAGTATTGTCCAACTGTTTACTGAAACTGGAAGTGTTAAACCTAGAGAAAGAGTCCAACCGCGGCCTGTAACAAACGAAAATAACACAGTGAATGTTTTAGCTGCAGTTGCTGCAAATCCTCACATTAGTTCTAGGCAAATTACGCGAGGTTCAGGAATTTCTCAAAGAAGTGTTCTATGCATACTGCATGAACACAAACATCCATTTCATTTATCGCTGCATCAAGAACTGCACGGTGACGATTTTCAAAATCGCTTGAATTTTTGCAACTGGATACAGGAACAACTAGCAGTCAATGATAATTTCATTTCACAGATACTTTTCCCCCGAGATAGTGAGAGGCAAGGGGACTCACCAAAATCAAGAACCCCGAAGGGAACAAATTACTACTACGTCCACGTCGTTGTTCCTGGGTAAAGCTAAAAGTAGTCTAAGAATGCATTGCAGGAGGGTAGACGGTGTCACATGATAGCATTTTCAAAAATATCAAAAAATTTACTTTGATTTTCCTAATCTGTGTATTTTTTGAGATATTACCATTTTTCAACAATTTTCAACTCATTTTCATTTTTGCCGATTACAGCGCCATCTATCATGAAACGAAAAAAATGTCTCATACAAAAGTTACATATTTTTTCACGGAGAATCCAGATCTGCAATAAAAAATAGGGGTTTCTATTTAAGATTTCAAAGTCACCCCCCTCCCGCCCCCGGGGGGTCGAGCTTTATGTTAATGGATGACCCTCTTCGAGGTGAACAACTTTTTTTAAATCCGATTTGTATTTTTCCAAATATTCTGAAAAACAGTTTTAAATGCCTCACCCTGTATAATCTGAGCGCTTAGTGATTCTTTGATAAAATTAATTTGTACATATGTAATTATACACATATATACATTACATGTATATGTGTATAATTACATATGTTACACATTACCTAATTCCATTACGCCTGTAACTTGAACTTTATCTCCTTTACTTATCCCAAGTGCAAAATAATCATCATAACTAAAAGAAATAATATGGACTTCTAACTTATAGGTGCCATCTGTCACTGATCCAATACCAATAAGTTTGTTCAATTTGTTATGATGTATTTCATCAAAATTCGTTTTTATGTAAGCTTCCATTACTGTGAAATACATATTACATATTAAAATATATATTATAATATATGTTAATATAATACATAATTTGTTATGATAAAAGAAACTATTGTTATGATAAAAAAGACAAGGGATGAAAAAGAGAAAGGAAAAAAACAGCAAAAAGTTAAGATGACTTACCAATACATCCAGATACATTTAAAATGTCACTTAAATTTACAGATATTGGAGTAGTCTCCATTAAATTCATCTGATAACTTCCCAAATTTGAAATACGAGTATTATTACGAATTAATAACTCGAACCGAACATTTCCGTTATTGAAATTTGTCATTTTTGGCAATCGCGCTTGAACACCATCCAAATGAATAATCTATAAACAAATGTAGTTTTAATAAAATGGTATCAAGAAAAATAATAATGTAAAATTGTAACTGAATATTTAAAAACATAATTACAAACAAAAAGATAATATAAAAAATATAAATATTTACAAAATTTGGCAAAATGTGATGAATAATATCATCTATCACTTCGTTCCAAGCGACAACTTGGATTTTTCTCCCGTTGCCATTATTTAGATAGAATTTAAAAAATTTATGCTGCTTGTTAGTCCCCACAATACGAGGCGATTCAATACCGTCGACGTAGCCAATTACTTCACTGTAAGAATAACTAAAAAACTTACCTTTTTAAAAAAGGTAAAAAAAAGCACCAAGTATAAGCTCCAACGGCCGAATATATTTTGTTACTCTATCTTTTTGCATCTCTACAAAAATATCTTCACTACAAAACTATCTTCTCTACAAAAGTAATGATATCATCAAATGGCACCAACTAAACTAAATAGTTTTAAACGTGGTGGGGCGATGATTGGAGTGGGGGCATGCTCGCCGGCTGGGCGTCCGCGGACGCCCGTTGCCCGCGGTTTAGACAATATAATACAAATAAATATTTTATTTTAAAGTACAAAAACTTGGCGCTGCTCAACCGAATTTTAATTGCCCCCTTTCTCCTTCCACTATTCCTTCGCCCCACTCCTTTACAAGTATAAACCCAAGTGCGTGTGCGTGTACGTGCGTTCGTGCGTGCACGCGCGCGCGCGCGCGTGTGTGTGTGTGTGTGTGTGTGATGTGCGCTTCTCTGCCTCTCTCTCTCTCGCTAGCGTGCGCGCGTTATATATTTATGCATGTATATTTGTATGCGTATGTGTGTGTGTATGTGTGTGTGTGTGTGTCGATGTGATGTGCTCCTCTCTCCCTCTCTCTCTCTCTCTAGCGTGCGCGCATTATATTTTTTCGCATGTATATTTGTATGCGTATATAGGATTAAGACACATATTGTTTTGTTTGTGTATATTTGTA